TAATTTCGTACTTCTTCGGCGCGAATACCGAGGCGTGTTTCCGTACCTATTATTTAGCTTTTTCGTATAGTTCGGCTAGTGTCTCGTAGTTTAAGGCCGCTAATCCCTCTAAGACTACTATCGATATATCGTCGATATAACTAGTATTTAGATCGGCTCCCTTAATTTCTACTAGATCCGTATTATAGAAAAGGTATAGTATTAGGGAGAGTAGTAAGCCCTATAGTATGCCGGTGCTAACTTTATACTGCTTTAAGGTACCTTCCGCTATCTTTAGCGTCGTTATATAGTCGACTAGGTAGCTCTAAAGCTATCCGACTATCTCCGGCGGCAGTCGACGCTTTCTAAGGTTATAAAGTAGCCTCTAATAGCTAACGTTATTAAAGGCTCCTAAGACGTCTAAGAACAGAGCGCTAACGACTCGGTTCTAGTTCTACCCGGCGTAGATTGTCTCTAGTACTAGGTAGAGGGCGTACTTAGTTAAGTTTGCTTTTTAGCCGCTATAGTAAGTTGCCGGGAGTAGCTAATAGTGTTTAGCTATATAGGAGATCCGTTTAGCAAGCACGATATCTATTAGCTTACCGACTGTATTAAGGAGCGCTATCGGTCGGTACGACTTTAGCTCGCGGTACGTAGCTTTCCCTAGTTTCCGTAGTACTACCGTAGCCGATTCCTTAAAGGAGGCTAGGTAGTATTAGAGTGCTAGGGAGAGGTTAAACAATTTAGTAAAAATCGGCGCGAGTACGTCGATCGCTATCTTAAGGGCTCTATTATAGATCGTGTCTAGTCCTAGCGCTTTGTCTAGGCTAGTAAAGCGGATTACTTCCTTAACTTCGTGCTCTATAATTAGCGGCATCGTAACTAGTACTCCGTATATAGCGTTATCGATATTAGATTTATCCGCCGTCGGTAGTTCTAGAAAGAAGACCGACTAAAGTAAGTCTAATTTCTCTTTAGCGGTCTTTATCTCCTTCCTATAGCTGTCTATTAGCGTTAGCGTAAACGCCGGCATTATAACGTCTTTGTTCTTCGTCTATCGCCGGAGTACCTAGAGGTCCTTTATAGTCTTTACTTAAGAGACTCTCTACCGGTAGTCTTCCCTATTAGATAGGGATATTGCCTTATACCTAGCTTGTTTAGCTTACTAGTAGGCGATAAGGTCTTCCGCTCTTCCGGATGCTTACTATAAGCGTTTAGCCCTCTTCGTTGCTATTAGAGCTTCCCGGCACTCCTCGTTAAACCTAGGCCGAGACCGTAGGCTAACTCGTAGTAGCGGCGTACTCTCCGCGATCGCCTATATAATAGCTTCTACTATCTATATTGCTAGGTCGTCTAGACCCTACTATATGCCTATTCTAGTAGTATTCTTCGGTAGAAGTTCCTTAAGGCGTTTAAGGTATTTCGCTTCGTCTATCTTATAGTAGTAGTAGTTTTCTTGCTATAGTGCTTATAGTACAGCGCTTTTAACTTCTATAGCGATCGGTAGGTAGTCGGAGTGCTTGTCTAGCGTTATCTAGACCTAACATTCGATAAGCTACTCCTAAATCCGGTCTGTCGCCTATATAAGGTTAATCGTAGTGCCTCGTTAGTTCTCCTAATCGGGGACCCTCGTAATCGTGCCTAGTTCGAGGTATAGCAAGAGTCTAAAGCGTAATACGATTTCCTTCTAAACTATATTCGATACCGCGTAGCCGCTAAGGTCTAGTCTATCCTCCTAGTCGGTATCGTATAGGTTAAAATCGCCTATAACGATATAGTCGTTAGTTTCCTTCGCTACTAACGCCCTTATTAGCGTTAGTAGTATACTCTTCCGTAGGAGCCCCTAGAAGAGGTTATTATATAGTAGCTTTAGTAGTAGGTTGTAAACGTTATAGATAGTAATCGGGCTGCCCTAGTCTAGCGTAATAGTAAGCGAAGAGTTGTATCTCCTATAGTCCTAGAGCTCTAACTTCTCTTTCGGGATTTAGCGTAAGATAAGCTAACAAATCTTCGGTTTCTCTGCCTCTAGTAGGACGGTATAATATCTGTCCTTAAGAGGGTTATAGACCTAGCCGTTATATAGGTTAAGCTACGGCTCCTAGAATGCTATAATATTGTATTATAGCACTTTCGGGTCGCGGAGGAACTCCGCTATAACTCTATATAACCGCCGTATATTATACTATATAATCCGTAGGTATTCTAGGTCGTTACTTATATTAGGTATAAGTACCTAGTAGACTCTATATACGTTTGCACTACGAGGCTCTCGGCTTCTTGCTTAGGTCGTATATTACTATATATTTACCTAGCTTTCTTCGGCCGCTTCTACTTCCTAAGTTGCTAGAGATATTAGACTCTAAGCTATCTCTACCTATCGCTACGTCGATATCTTAATCGTCGCTTAGCTAGTACTACGTAAGCTTATCCTCCGCTACGTTCTCGGAAGAGGTATTTTCTTTGTCTGCCTCCGTAGTAGCCCGTCGGCTCGCCTTTAGTTTAGGCTATAGTCTAACTACCCTACCTAATCTAAAGTCGATCTAGCGTAATACTATCTACGGTGTTTTTCTTGCATTTGCGTTTCTTTCGACTAGAGGGCCTCTCGTAGTCGTAGAGGGCCCCTTCTTAGTCGATTTCTTATAAGGGCTGCCTAGTAACGAGCCTAGGCCTCTCTTCTTACGGTATTCGACTATTGTAAATCTGTTACCCTACTCTTCGCTTCTAGCGGCGGGCACTCTAGGAGGGACTACCGGTATCTCTATAGTAGGCGCTTCCGAAGGTAGTACGGTTTCGTTCTCGGTAGTGTTTATAGTCGTATTTAGAGGTTGCGGTTATACGTTCGCGAACTCTATACGTAGTATAACGATTTGCGGCGATCGGTAAGTCTTAGGGTTCGGAGTAGGCTCTACGTCGGGAGCCTCCTTAGACTAATTATTAGCCGCTTTATCGTTACCTTCCTTCGCTTTAGTAGGAGGGCGTATACCGGTAGCTCTACGGGAAGCGGGAGTCTTCTTCTACTTCTCGGCTATAGTAGTAGAGGTTTAATCGTCGATAGCTAACGGTTCTAGAGTAATATCCTTCGCTGTTTTAGATTTCTAGGTAGAACGGGTTACTTCTTACCTTTTCCTTTACCTAGGCAATACGTTGCATCTCTGCTTTACGCTACTAGTATTTAGAGGACTACGCGCTATACGGGCTATAGTATAGGGTGTATTTCCGCTTTCCCTCCGGTTATACCGCTAAACACTCTCGTTTAGAGTATAGCGGCGTTCTTAGATCCTATTCTATTGCCTTCTTACTATACTATCCGTAGGCGAATAGTTTGTAGTAGTAGCGTACGATGTAACTATATAATTTGCAAACCTAGCATTACGTAACTCGGCACTTGTAATCGTACTTAATTACTCTATAGCTACGTCCTTTCTAGACGAGTCTACCGGCCGCTAGCGTAGCGTTTGCTCCTTCTATAGTAGAGAACTTAACAACTAGCGATCCCGTAGTCTTTTATTTCTACGGGACTATAAGCTATCTAATCTAGGTAACGTCGGTACCTACGATATTAAAGTTGCTAATTCGAAGTTATCGTTTCTCTATATCTAATCCGATCCCTCGTTTAGATCCCTTTAGTATCTAGTTAGCTATTCGAACTGCCTATATTATAACTCTATATTCCGGCTAGATTACGGTCGCTTTCTCGCCTAAGTAGCCTTACTACTTTGCCGCGAGCTTCGTAAGGCGCTTAGCGACGGAGCCGCTTACTACTATAAGTACTATATCTCCGCTCTTAAGGATCTTCGCGCTATTAATCTATTTATACTTGCCCGACGCGATAGTTAGTGCGCCGTTCGTAACCTTTCCTAATTAGGATAGCGTATTATTAATAGTATCGACTATACTAAGTTCTAGAGTCGACTATTTACGTAGCGCCGCGGCTTCCTAGGGGTCCCCTATTTTGATTTTAATCTCGTATAGCTCTTGTCGGTCGATTCGAGCTACTCTTGTTCTATTTCGGGCCTAGATAGAGGCTAGTAGCGGGATAGAGGGAGGGGGGTAGGTAGAGGCGGCGGCGGCGGCGGCGTAGGACTATATTCGGGGGCCCGCGGAAGCGGCTCCTAGTTTCGTTCTTATCTTAGAGACTATAAGATAGGTTTGTTTAGTAGATATAGCGATATCGCTAATACTTTTAAATAGATTTTCGAATTTTTCCTTCTATATACGTAACGCGTCGATATAGGCCTTAATAGACTCTAAGAACTACTAAAAGATCTGCTATAGGATAGCCTTAGGGGATTAGCCGGATATCGCGTAAGACTATAGCGATTTAAGCTCTATAAGGAGATAGGTAGCGTATACTAATACGTATTAGGACGTTTTGCCGATTATAGGCTATTTACTCGATTTTAGCGGTATCGCGCGCGATAGCGTAGTAGCGCGTATGCTAAATAACTAAATAGACTATAGCGGATACGATAGACAATGTTTTGAAAGTGTATAGGTAACTTCGTACTTAATGTTGTGTTTTTTTAGTCGCGCACAAGCATTGCAACTTTTGTTAGCTCATCTAAGACAATCAATCTCTCAAGACCGTGTAAGGCTGAATTTAAGAGCCTTCCAAGCTTCCTCCCTTCTTAGTCCACCATACATACCACAAGAAGGCCCCCACAAGAATCATGCAACGACCACTGACTGCATGCCGGTGCCTCGTCTATCAGCATCATCAATTCACCACTATGTAATTCATTACCTACCGACTTGGCACACTTGAGCGACAACTTCATGCATTCGGCCACAACAACTGACCTATTGTAAACAGGAAGGAGCTTTGCCAGGCCTGAAGTACACGGAGAACCTTCAAAGAAAGAACGCAAAAAATTTTTGAACTGTGATGCATGCCCTCGTGCAAGATTCGAGAGCTAGCTAGCAACCAAAGAGAGACTGGCGCCATCTTTCCACACACACACACACACACACACACACACACACACACACACACACACACACACACACACACAAAGCCAAAACAGAAAGAACAGAACAGCAGTCGAAATTGCAAGAGAACCACCGGTTCATCCATGTATACCATCAACTCTGTACGAAAGATACTCAAATCCAATCCATTCCAACAACATGCTCGCCCGCCAAGCCGAAATAACAGCATTTATCCAAAGACCAGGACACGCTTCCTTCCATGCAAGACAAAAACAAATTTCCCGGCCGTCACACATCACTCAACACGACGATTAAGCATTCAAAAGTGGTGGCCTGACATCATCACCACCATAACGACCAACAGTGACACGATCAACTTTCCTGGCGCCGTCTTTCACAGTCAGACCTTCCCAATAAAGCTTGTCTCCAGTGGCGTCATCTTCATCTAGTCGACCCAAGCCGCCATTCGCAACCCATTGCGATACGGCATCTTGTACGAACGCGAGTTTGTCGGCTAGTTGGTTGGCTTTGACGATGCGTTGTCGTACGCGACCGCCCTCGAAAAGGAGGGCATGGATGCTGTCGGCCAGGACTTGGCGCTGATTGATCTGTGCTGGCAGAAGCTCGCCGTTTTGTGAGAGGTGCGAGACCGCATCAGTGCTGAGGACAGTAGCTGACACACTCCGGCCGTCTGCGGAGATGACGAGCTTGGTGTGGTCGGGGAAGTGGATCTGGAGGGAATCGTTAGCAAGAACACGTGGAGTGATGGCGACTAACAAGATATGCTCACCTGCAAGCAACCATCGGCAAAAGCCCAGACGCCAACATTACCGATCCTCTGGTAAAACCGAACAAAGTTGCCATCGTGGTTCTTACCCACATCTTCTTCCTGTCCGTCCAGCGATTGGCACATGTATCGGCCAAACTTCACCCAGAGCACACTCAGTGTCCGTCTGCGTTCAGCTTCGACTGCGAGAGGTCCTTCCTTGACGCTGCCAAGGCCCTTGTATACTTTCCGCTTGATACCTTCCAGGTCTCCATCTTCGAAGACTTCAAGTGGGACTTGTTCGATGCCGGCAAAGTCCTTGTTCTTGCCAACTTTCTGCAACCACCGCTGGCCATTTCGGACGATGACATGAGTTACTGGTGTAGGTGTCTGCTTTGGCTTGGCTGTGGCATTGATTATGCACCCAACAGTGCCATCGGAGAGGACGTATCCTACGCCATGCTTGCGGCTGTAGTCGACCCAGCGGGACACGAATGGCAGATTGGCAGACTCATCAGGCATGTTCGATCGAAGACTAGATGTTGTCTTCGCTGAAGCAGATTTTTGTAGTGCCGTCGCGAGATTATTTCGGAATACGGAGAGTTTCTCGAGCACCGTAGCAGGATCTGTGCCAGGTACAGCTGGATTGGTCTCTCGGCTAATCTCCTTGTTGACTTGTGGTAGACGTTTGGTGGCCATTTGCGGAGGTCGAGGTAGTCTCAGAGCTGGCGCGTCAGAGGGCCCCTTAAGCTCATCTCTGTTGTCCAATTCTGGATCCGACAGAATCTCGATGACATTATCAGTCGGGATCTTCTTTCGATATCGATGCGGCTCGGCCTGTTTCATCTCGTCAAGCGTCGCCATCGGTCCTTGCTCCACAGGAGGGGAGATATTGCGCGAGGCATTGCGCGGTCTGGACACCTTTGCTGCTGTGGGCTGGGTTGGTAATTGCTGCTCCACTGGAGAAGTTGGTCGCTCTTTAATGGTCCTCGTACCTCGAGGTCTTCTGGCCAAGCTAGCATCTGCACTACGTTTGACTGAGTTCGTCCTTGATGGCTTCTCTAATGGATCTGCGCTCTGCTCCGTCTTCGCTGTCTGGTATGATGCTGCTGTTGAGGAGGCATTCTTGTTCTCCCTAGTGGTGCTTCCCAGCGTCACTGTAGAGGGTGCACTCGCAGCCGAAGACGGTGCAGGTCTCACGCGCGATACCTTCAAAGTAGCGGCTGAGGAAGGTCCGGACGACGATGAGTCTGACTGTATCCGGACCGACTCATTCGACTTCGCGACGGTCTCTTCACTGATAGTTCTTGCTGGTCGTCTTACAGTTCCACTTCTTGACGTCGCTGCTCTCGATGGTGCTCTCGGGGGTGGCATTAATGCAGCATCTCTTTTCGCCTTCTCAGAGTCGGCCGCTCGAGGTCTGGTTGATGCAACTTCATTCAGCGCAATCTCTTTCAACTCACGACTTGCTGCCTCAACAGAGGCCGTTGAGTTGTCCGGAGTGGATCGGGCAGCGTCGAAGTCGCTAATCATGGAGGAATAAACCACGTCCTTGGGTATGGGCATCTGAGGCTGGCGCCCAAGCTGCGTCTCACGTTCCATGTCATGGACAATGCTTCGCACTTTGCGTCCGCCATTCAATGGGAAAGCCTTCCCAGGCTCGTACTCGCCCACGCCAGATAATTTGCACAAGTCAAACCAGGTTTCGCTGTAGCCACGCCGAATAGTATCCGAACTGGGCATGGAGACGTCCCATTGTGGAGCGAGCGTTCGTGCTGTTGTGGGTATTTCGGCTGGAACATAGGCAATCTTGAAGAATGCATGGCTGACGATCTCATCTGGAGAGGGTCGCTGCTCTTCCGATACCAGGATTCGTGACACCAAATCTCGCAGATCAGTGCTCTGGTTGTTCGTAGCACTCAGCTCCGGCCACGTGTATGTTCCAGACTTGAGTTTCTTGTAGATCTCTTCCTTCGTACTGGCATGGAATGGAGCCTTGCCGACTGCGAGCGTGTACGCAATCACGCCGATAGCCCATAGGTCCACTTTTTCATCATGTCCTTTGCCCTTCTCCAGAATCTCAGGTGCAAGATAGTTTGGTGTGCCGCACATGGTCGTCCTCCGTCTCACTTCCATATCCCTTTCGGTCACCAGCAGCGCTGCCAAGCCAAAGTCACCGACTTTGACATTCATATGCTCATCCAGGAAGAGATTGCCAGTTTTGAGATCGCGATGCACAATGTGCCGGTGATGCAAGTATTTCACCGCTCCGCACACCTGGATTACCAGTCTGCGGATTTCAGGCAGGGACAAGTTCTTCCGCTTCTTGAGCATATCGGCCAACGATCCGTTCGGACACAGCTCGAGGACGACATATGTGCTGGTCTGGAAGGAAAAGGCTCGGTAGAAGGTGACGATGTTGGGATGCGAGAGCTTGCTGTGTATTTGCAGCTCTGTCACGAACTGTCACAATGTCAATGAAGCTCTACGCCAGAACCGACGCATCATGTGCGGTGTTTACCTTTTGTGCCAACTTCGCCGGTTCCATCTTGGTCTTGACAATCTTCAAGGCGACGATGTGACCCGTCGGCTTCGCGCCATCGAGCCGTTCGGCCTTGTGACATATCGCAAAGCCGCCTTTTCCCAAAGCAATACTCGTAGCATAGTTGATACCGCTGGGCTCGGTGACGACGGGCGGCGGAGGATCGGCGTGGACGGAGGAGGACGACATGGTGAGGAAATGTCGCTGGGTGTTATGATGGCCTCCTGCTGGCGGACATTCGCGATGAACTTGCTGCAGCGGAAGATTATGGGAACTACTCTCGATGTCCCGCGACTCTGCTGCGAAGTATCGATAACTATGCTGCTCCGCCTCGCCCACGCCAGATGTGTTCAAAGTCAAACATGGTCGCCCAGCAACGACGCGTGGGGCAACTTCACCCGACGCCGCGCGAATACCCGCAGAGCCGCAATCGCAAGGCAAGACAAGCTTTGAGAAGTGGACGTGGACGTCGCATGTGAAAGTGAAGCTTGGAATCAATGCAGCTTGTTGTAAAGATGTATATGACTGAGGGATGGATTGAGAGCGCATAATGATGGTCGGGCAGCTGGGTCGCTGTCTTGACCTCCATATTCTACAGAATGTCTTCTCTCACGCTGAAACTGGTGTCTCTGGCCGTCAGAACCGCGGCGAAGCCCATCGGTGTAAGCTTACCATGTCGACACATTGAGACGAAGCGTGGTGCTGATGGATGGGCCTGTAGAATTACATCAAGAGGCAAGCGAAAGAACATGAGGGCTTTCGTCGCTTTGCTGTCGGCGCCGCACAAGGTGTACATCGCTTGGACATGCGCATGCGACTCGGCCTCCTTCACGACCCAGAAGCACAGCAGCGGATGCACGAGCGTGAGAAGCGGGCTGCGGAAGAGAAGAAGCGGAGAGAGGAGATGCCGACCGTCAGAAGCGAGGAGGAACAGGCCAAGCACGACGAGCAGAAATGTCAAGAGGCGGCCGATGAAGCTGCAGGCAAAAAGAGGACGGAGGAGAAAGCACACAAGCCAAAGATTCGTCCCCTGACCGAAGCCAGAGCCATTGAGCTTGGAGCGAACTTCTTTTCCGAGGCATTCATCTTCGGGGTAGCGGTTGGTCTACTGCTCTTCGAGAATTGGAGAAGCCGGAGTAAGGCTTCAGCACGGAGAGATGAAGTGTCTGAGAGGCTGGAACAGCTGGAGGCTGAAGTCGAAAGCTTACGAGCCACGCTTGATCCCGACCTGGAGACACTGCACGATGTTGGTGAGAGGCTGAAGGAGGCCAGGCGGCGGAGACAAAGCTGGAGTGCGTGGGTTGCGAGTGGCTTTGGCTTGGTCGGACGGTCGCCTGAAGGCACTGCAGTCAAAGAGGAGGAGGAGGAGAAGAGGTCGGCGAAAGAAGAGGGGCACAATGCCCATGACTCCACGAAAGTCAAGGTGCAGGGAGAAGAGGGAAAGAGAAAGAGGAGGGATGTTGCAGACCAGTCAAAGCAGGAAGGCGCGAAGAAGGAATCGCACGATGCCAAGGCTCCGAATGTCAATGCCGTAGCGAATGCCGTAGCGGCGGGCACGAAAGGACGGTAATGGACAGGCAGTCTTGTATATATTGAGGCCTCTCGCTGCCCGCTGGAGGTAGACACACTGACGGCGTCGACACTTCACCGCAAGCACACGTGACCTGATGTCGGCCGCCATGTTCTGCCACACGCTGCGACGCCGGCCATCCTTCGAGCCAATCCTCAACACCCTGCGCGACGATCCCACGTGGAGCTTCTTGGGTATCTTGCGTGCACATCCGATGGCCTTCGCTTCTTTCCTGCCTCCCACTGACAACTCTCCAGAATCACACCTCGACACGCACGATCTCACCCTCCCGCTTGCTCCTGGCCTTGCTCCTGCAACGGGCACCACGCCATCGACACGCAGCCTGCGCGTGCTGTTGCTGTCGCCCTCCTCAGTCTCGCACACGCTCCACGTCGAAGCGACCCTCGAACGCATCCAACGCTTCTCTTCTGCCACCGCCGAGCCGAATGTGCTCGTGTTCTTGCTCCAGCCTGCTCACACACGGCCGCGCCGTTCCGAAGGCGAGAAAAATGGCTCCCAAGAGCACGACAGCGAAGGCCTTCGAGCGTACAGCACCCTCCACGCGGCGCTGCTTGAACACGCCTTTCCGACACTCCCCATCCTGCTTCTCCCACACCTCAGCGGCTTGCCAGATCTACTGAAGCAGCACACCGCAGCTCTCGAACAATCACTACGCCAACCTCCGCACGACCACAATGCCACCTATCATCTTCTTGCACTCTGCGCCAGCGCCATGGGCAATCTTGAAGCAGTCAACTACCTTCACGACACCTTCACCAGCATTCCTCACATTGCTGAGACATGTGCCAACACCACCACTCTCAACTCCAGCTCGCCGACAAATATCGCTGCCTTCGCCCAGCAAGTCTTGACTGAGCCAGATCTGTTCGACGATGATCCGGTGCAGATCGATTTGCATCTCGATACGCCCGAGCAAAGAATGGTGGCAATCAAGAATCTAGCGGGAGAAGACCAGGCCGCTGCTTTATTCGCTTTCTGGAAGGCAGAGTGGTTGATCGACGATTAGAAGACCAATCGCGACTGCCGTGTAAGCATCACCGCCATGTGAGATCCGGATTGCGCAACAGGAAATAGCACAAATCATCCATCTTCTGGAACGCTCCGCCAAACTTCAACTACCGCATGTGATCATGAATAGCATTCTCGACATCATCATTACCATACTCATCTTCCCATTCTGCGGCGTAACATATAACGACCTTCGCGGCAGAACCTTTGATACTGCACGTCCGACGCCCAAGCGCGAAGGCCACTGCCCGAGATGTGGGACTGAGACAAAGACAAAGATCACATCAAGGAGAGAAGCACGTAATGATCATGATTGTATCTCGGTTGACTAGGCGGGAAGCATGCAGTGTCTCTCTGGAGGCCTCAATGCCCCAATGAACTACGCTGGTCGGCCATCGAGATCTCAGATATGCTTTCGAGCAAACATTCGTCCTGCTAACAAAATGACGCTGCACCTTGAACGCTCCAAGCTAGTCTGACAATCCTGCCTTGTTCCGTGATTCTCAATGCACGACCACCCGGGCGTACCACCGCGAAGGCCTAAAGAAGCTGTAGTAGGTCGTCAATGTGTCTCAGTGCATTCACCAG